CCCAGCCGGGTACAAGGAAGCTAACTCAAAGTACAAAAGTTGCGCCTCACCAAAACCGAGGGATAAACCACTATCGTATTACAGTGGGCACCTTACCGCTCTCCGGTTCGCAGGACGTTGAAATCTCAGTCATGAGGTTCGATTCGTACCCCCACCTCCTCTCTGAAAGGAACATTAAAACAGCATAAGTATTACACTATGCTTTAGTTTAACAGTAATGTAGGGATTTATCGTTTGTTATGGTTTCAAAGCGGAGGTCAAAATTTTCCAATCTGTCACGCTGTTGTCCAAAGCTGATAGTTATTTGCGTAAAAGGTTTGCTAAAACACGTATTGCGGGTTCTTTACCTTCCTGACCTATTTAGCTTTGGAGAGATGCACCTTTCCTGGCCAACACCGTTTGCGAGAGGTTTGCTACATTCCGGCGTCGGTAATACATCTTTGTTTTCTGCAAAGTGAGGAAAGCGTTGAGGGGTCGTAGTTTACTGCACGCCTTCTTAAGTACGAGTTTTCTTGCACTGAAATGTGTTGCTGGGCCTCAAGTCTTTTGCAGTGTCAATAATTTAAAGTAGTAGGCAAGAATATTAAATTTAATAACAGCAGAATAATTTAAGGGCAGTCAACATGGCTTGAATGCTGTGACTAAGAGCGGAACTACAATTTGTACACAGTGAGGCGCCAAAACCTAAGTACATAAATGCACAGAAAGGCAAATCATTTTATGAAACTATTTGGTTAAACTGCTTTGCTTCGCAAAATACTTGCCAGATTTTTTCCACCACCCTACCTGTTTAAAATAATTACCTCTGAAACACAAAACGTAGCCTATTTTTAGCATCAGAATAGTTTATGTATGGATTTGATGATTTGTTTCACTGCATGATTAACTGAGCGGGTATTTCATTCTCCTCAGATTTGACTTTCTCTCTGTTTTATGGATTTAAAGCCCCATAAATCCCACCGATGCTAATTTGAACTACGAAATCCCTGTAGCCTTTGCAACTTTTTGTTCATTTTGGCGAAGATATCTGTCGGGACTCTGTAGGCAAAATTGTAAGTAAAGCCTGATAATTCGCGAAAAATTCCGAAACTAAAAAGAAATATTAGAATGAGTTAGGAGGTCTGACCAGCGACATTTGAAATCAAATGGATTATGGAGGATTCCTCTTCATTTTACCCTTGCATAAATCACGCGTTAAAATAGAGTGCTCTTGATAACTAACGCTGCGCCAGGGCGTATGCGGAACCGAATTTGGAAAAGTGAGCATCAGACTCACTGAAGTGTAGCAGAAGAAAGTGCAAAAACTGATTTTGCAAGGAAGGTATAACTTACTTTTATGCATATGCTCTTAACGCATATCTACCGTTGCATGAAGCTCACATTCTGTGAAATCTTGAAATGCCTAAAAAATAAAAGAAAGTGTCATTTGGTTTTTTTAGTAAAAGAGTTTTGAGGCTTCTGCTCCTGATTTCTGCAGACTGTGGTGGTCGACCCGAGACCCGGTAGACGCTATTAATGAATGCGGATGGGCTGCACTTCTTAGTAGTACAATTAACTAAAGCCATTACTGACACATCTCAAGTATTCGTGAGAGCAAAAAATCTTTTGAAGCCAGCGTAAATTACCGGACTGCTAAGGTTAGGAGGTTTAGGATTTTCATGCACACTTTAAGGGAGGTCAACTAGCCCTTCCTGTACGTTATGGATGATAAGCGCACATATTTGTATGGAACAGCAAATAGAGCAAGACTACACACATTTCTCCTTCACTTTTTTAGCTAAGAAATCGAATATGAAGACCAAAACAGCTTAAATGAACATTGTGTGATCACTACACAGTCGATATTCTTTCCTTTTACGAGGGTTTTTCCTTCATTGCGGACGATGGCAAATATACAAAACATTCAAGTAACGTTCGCTTAAATATCTGCTTGCTGATTGTGTCCATGCCTGAAACAGTTTTACTGAATTGGAATAATGTTTTTGGCTGTAGTCCGCGTCCATTGGTCAGGGTGCCATATTGGTCGGGGGAGGGGTGTTGTGTTTGTTTTATAGATGGTCGGTAGGAGGCGAAAGGCGAGGTTGTCTGTGAGTGTTTTTCCCATATTTCTCTCTTCGCTTCTTCTGTACTAATGATCATTGCTTTAAAGCGTTCTCGCAATCCCTATTATACGCGGTCCGCTTCTCGGAGTAGGCCTGGACTCAGAAGGAGAACTTTATCAAAGTCACCTGCCAGGAAGTTCGCTTCTGGTGCCTCCGAATCAGGAGCTTCTGTTGTTGAAACAAAGCTACGAACCCGCACTTTTAGCCCATCACCGAAAGTTGAGAAAGTACGATATGGGAGTCTGCGTCGGCAAAGTGCGAGGACTCAGTCTTCTGTCATTATAATAGATGAGTAAGTGTTTATTTGGCCTCTGATATAGGTGGATTCTGTATTGAGATGGGTTAAATTCTCCGTGCAGGATTGATTTATCTTCTCCGCAGCCCGGACAAGCGTCTAGTAAATTTTGGTGCCTTGCGCATCCCATGACTGATGTTCTGCCGAGGCTCTTTCTCACTATTTTCTCCAGGGGACTAATTGATCTTCTCGCTGCTCTTTTTATACCGCTCTTTGTTTACTGGTGCACTTTTCTGGCTGTCTCTCCAACAAGTGAAAAGACTTTTTCACGAGGCTGTTCTCACCACGGTTGTTCTATCGCCTTTTTCGGAGCTGCACTACCATTGGATTTAGGCTTTATCAACCCATATGTTCTCTTTGGTGTCGCATTTTTTAACAGGATCACCATGCTTCTGAATTGCCTTGTTCCTATTGGGAGGCCACTTATTGTCATTGCTGGTGGACGTCGATGGCAGCACAAGTGCAATGGTAAGACAATTCTGCATGTTGTACCTTACGACTTTATAGGGATTTTGATTGTTGTGCTTTATCTTCTTGCTGTGGCTCTTTACGCTCACAAGGGTGCTGGAGTCGTTAGTATCTCCCAATTAGTTGATTTGCGCAGTTTTTTGCCGTCAGTACTCCTCGGTGCGTGGACTGATGCTCTCGTTTTTGCGACACATGCTTTTCTGAAATCACGCCACATCCGTGCTTCTACTTCATATGGTGGATATTCGGGTGAGTGAATTGTGTGGTGGGGATGTGGAATCGAAGGGTTTCTAGTTTCTTTCTCTTTCATAGGCAACTTCCTTGTGGACTTTTATAATGGTCGTGAGATTCGTCCCATACTTTGTGGACTAGATGTCAAAGTTCTCTCTTGCTACGCATCTTTCATCGGGGGCTTCATTCTTCAATTGGCCTTTGTGATTCATCAGTATCATGAACGTGCGTCCCTCAGTTTCGGTCTCATGACTCTGCTTCTCCTTCACGCCATTGGTATGTTGGACTTCTTTGTCTACGAGCCCACAGTACTTCGCGCTCATGACGTTGTACACCATGGCTGTGGTCTTCGATGGTTTCAAAGCGCACTCCTTGTCTGGCCTTTTTTACAAAGTCTTGGCGTCTTATATTTGGCCCACAATTACTGCATGGTATATCCCTCCTGGGATTCTTTGCCGTACTATGGTCTTCCAGCTTTTGGTGCGTTTCTTTTCGTTGTTGGCCTCTACATTCGTCGACGGGCCACCAACCAGAAGTTCCTCCTCAGCTACAATCCGCAGCGTCACTCATTTGAGGCTGCGAGCGTTTTGAACTCTAGCGGGAGTCGAAGCATTGTGGCAGTTGGTTGGTGGGCCTGTGTTCGTCATCCTGACTACCTAGGAGAAGTTATTTCGTCCCTCGGTTTGGCCGTGACTGCCGGAGTTGGTAGCATCGCTCCGTGGATTGCGCTAGCGTGCGTGTTTTTTGATGTTCTGTTGCGCATTCGCTGGGACGAGGGCGTGGGCTTGAAGATGTATGATAAGACTATGTGGGAGAAGTATGCCTCAGCGGTCCCCTATTGCCTTATACCGCGGCTTTACTAGTTTTATCTGCGCCCAAATGCAGTTTAACTCACATCATTTTATTGTAGACTAATTTACATTTATTGCGAACTCCCTTCTTAATGGATTTGCTTCTAGGTGTTTTTATGTACAATTTTTATCCGTACACTTGCATATATGTATGTATTTGTGCAAAGGTTTCTCCGATGCCTAACTAATAGCTTTGTATATTTGTACTTTATAGTGTGCCGGTTTGTGTTATCTAAAATGAATAAATTTGCTGTTGGTCCTCTCCCTTGTGTGGGGGATCTGTGGCACTAAAACAGTAAAACTCTGGTTTGAGTTTCATACATTCCTGAGTGACAGTAGATACCCTTGGTTTTGGCTCCGATTAGCCCTGTTTCGGTAGCGGGAATGTGCGGTTGATTAGTGCATATGATCGGTGTGATCGTAAAATGATGGGTTGGGAGGATACCCGTATGGACGTTCTCAATTACCGATGTCGTAGACCTTTGTGCTTTCTGAGCAGGGGCTTCGTTTGTGTCCGGTCCTCGTGGCAGTTTTTATCCGCTGAGACTGCTCCAACCTCGAAGGTACGCGGATTGGAACATTCATCGGCGGTAATTTCCGTGTACGGTTGGGCAATTTCCATTATTAAATAGCTTTTTCAGAACTTTTAGAAACCACAGACTCGTTTTTAATGAGCTGGATGATGGGGTTGGACCACTTCTCTGATATGTGGGTATAAAGTGAAAGAGAGCCTTGAGTTTTACCACTGCTGGGATTATAGTGATTGCTAGACATTGTCGAAAAGCAGTTTTGGATGAAGTCGAGCAATGACAGGAGGGTGACGTTTGCCAACCACTATTCGAGTAAACTGTTACCCGTTCTAAAGTTTCACAGGAACCAGTCTCGGCGAATCGTTGAGAATAACGGTCCTGTTGTCACTTCTTTGGGTCGCTTGCATTGCCCGATCTCGATTATTCTGTCCAGTAGACTTGTCTCTTGAATCTCGTTCTATATGATATTCCTCCGGCATTTCTTGACCTGTTCTTGGTTTTATTACGTAGACTTGTCACCACTTTTCTGATGTACTGAAAAGTCTAAAATCCCTGCATCGCAGCCCTCACCTTACCTCGTACCCCCTGGCAGGGAGAGTGGTGCTGTTCCAACTGCGGGCAGGAAATGGATTTGGGGACCTTCTACCATCCACTCCTTTGGAAATTACGTGGATGGTGTCTACCTATCTCTCATCTTGTCCTTCACCACTTACATCGGAATCATGCATTTGTGAACACCTGTGACTGCGGGTAGGTGACCTCACCGGCGTGGGATACGCGCGTGCCATGTGATCACGGGAAGGGGAAGAGGGCGCTTGCTGCGTTCGCGTGTCATCTATGGACAAGATGGAAAGCGTGCGGCCAGGGGTGCGGTCATGAGGCAGACGAACGCATACTTTTAGGAATTTAGCCACGCAATACGTGGACAAGCAAAGGCACCGGAGGTCCAGGTGAGATAGACCGTGTTGAGGCGCGCCTTGATGCGTCTAGTGGCTTCTGCCTTCAACCCCCTCCTACCGTGATTGGATTAAAATCAGGCTACTACGGTTGTAGGAAAATTTAGACTTTTCCAGGCATAAATTCAACCAGTAATGGAGTAACAATTTCTGCCTGACTTATTTAAACGCACGCTCCAGTAATTTCTGGGTTGCTTGCTATAATATTATCAGCAAGTATGAAATTGTACAAAGAAAATGTCACCTGCTGATTTCACAGACGGGTACTTCGCCAATCGATTTTGAAATACAGCTTTTAACTCATCAAAAAGGTCGCGTCACTTAGGGGGGAGGGGAGGGGGCTCGAGTGACCCAATAACTGACACATCCACCAATGCGAAGATTGTTTGTGGTTAACGGTGAGTGCAGGAGCGAACATAAGATTCCCATCTGCCATCTGACGGATCCGACCGGAGAATTGACGTCTGATTAGGAATTGTGAAAATGATTGGTCTACTGAGTGGTTGGAAGATAAGACGCCAAGGTTACCAATTCCATATGGCTCCGTCAGACTCTTGGCTATGTAATGCGCCAGTTGTTTGACTCTCGGGTGGGCTGGCGTCTGCGCCATGGCAGTGGTCCCAACCCCTTCTGTGTGTTGAATATAGACATTCAGTCCGAGTTTTGTGTCTCCAATCGCGTTCAGAGAAGCGTTGGAGCGCCACATTGGTGGCAGCGGAAAGTGAATCCGATTCTACGGGACACCTGTCCTGACTTCTTCTGCTGTCTGACATGCCTTATCGAGGTGGAAGAAGTGCATATTGCCGCCGATGGGAAAATCGGTGACGTCCCCAAACAGATGAGCTGAAATTTGACGTCCACCTTCGGCATCCACCCTAATCCCGTGAGTAGAGAGAAAGTCATTAACAACGGGTACGAAAGTAGCCGTGAACCACCTGGAAAAGTTTCGTTGCACAGTTGCCTGCTGGACCTCTATGAGGATATCGACAATGTGAACTCGAAATACCCACCTCCTCCACTTCTCTGCTGTCAGGATAGAACTTGGGCAGATACGACTGGGCAGCTTGAAGGTGGGAACAAAGTGGCAAGAAGGAACAGAGGTGAAACCCTTCTTCCACAAAACTGGGCTGAATCTTGTCCTCCATTACCCAAATCTACTTCAAGGTCGGTTTTTCTGCTTCTAGCTATGGACACGCGTGATGGCCAGCACAATTCGCCGTCCCCGAGTCCAGTTCCCGTGCAGGACAAAACTGCAGATCCACTTGAATTGCAAGGAGAAACCATTGACGTTGCGGTCAGGCATCCCCTTAGTTGCGTAGCAATTCATTGACTGGCAGGCATGGAGGGTGGATGTTTTCCCCACAACACCGATCGAGTTGTGATGGCTGCCACGGGAGGTTGACCATGGGGAGCGCCGAGGCCGACGCTCAAAAGGTGGTTGTTTGTTTAAATTTTGGGTATGTCAAAGGGCTGCCTTGCGCTGTGACCTTTGTACCTTCGCCGGGTGGGTTGGCCTTCGGACCCTGCCATTAGCCTCAAGCCCGCCTGTGTGTTGAATACGCATATTCTACCCGATCATCTTTCATATTCAGGGAGGTCTCGGAGAGCCACAAATCTCTCTTTGTTGCAGTGTTAACGCCTTCCATAGCATCTGCGACCCAAATTACGCAATAGAGGAGCTTGCGCCAATTTGTCAGGTAAGTGGGTAATGTCGAGGGAATCGAAGTTGTGTTGACACTGATAATTTATCGCTTACAATCAACGGAACCCACTTCAGTAGATAAAAACTTGTGAAGATAAATTTGGCTATAAAAAATCTGCCACTGACGCACGGCTGAGGTTCAGGAGAGCTATCACCACTATTGTACCTGATAAAATGTGGATTCGAGGGGCGGTGCTGCCGATCACTAGTGGGTTTTGGCATTGACTGCTTTTGTGTGTGACATCTGCAGCTACTAGAGTAGTTTGCCCTAATAAAATATGGTATAATTGCATCATACGCTGAATATTTTGAGCAGAGGTCGCATCTATCCTCCTCAAAATCGTGTGAGAGATTCTAAAGTTAAAAGTCATCTCCGAGGGGAAGACAGAAGACGAGCATGTCGGGTGTGAAATCATTTGTAACTAATTCCCCGAAATGCATGATCTCAATCTTCTTTTATCCATGCGAGGAAGATGGGTACGTCGGCAAACGCTCCAAAGCTACCTCTTGACACTTGGACGATTACAATGCAGTGAAGTCCCTCATGATCCTTCACTGCAAAGGAATAGATTGAACTACTTGTAGTGAAAAAGTTGATGTTTACAGTCTCCTGGAGCCGTCAGGAGTATTCTCGATATTCACGAGAAATATGATCACTTGATTATCTATTACACCGAGAGGAATTCCTGAATCCGTAACAAGCCAAAGTGTAGTGAAAACATTTTTACAAACGCATAGGAAGGTAGAGGCATGGCTTGAAATCAATGCTGCGAGAGGATTATACAATCTGCCTAGGCGTAATTATAACAATTATTTTGTTTTAATGTTTCTTTCAGAGGGGATGTGGACATACAAATCGAACTTCGTGAGTGTGGAGGCAGCGTTCTGCGACCTGAAGAAGGGCTCAGTGGACACACTTTTCTGAACTTGTATTCGCTCTCCCCATTCACTTCATCCAATAATCAAGAAAAAACCGAATAATCCTAGGAGTTCCAAGAGTAATAGGGCAAGGAATGGGGAGATCTACAGACCTTGTCTTGCAGAGTAACCAGCAATAGTTTGAATGGCAAAAATCAAAACTGTTCACAACTAAAAATAAAAAATAGTGACCAATTGCAGCAGTGAGGACAGAATGAGTTTTAGGAAAACTCTTATGCGATTTTACAGAAATGTAAGCAAATCTATGCATTTTTTTAGACTTTTCAGACCATATTAATCAAAACTGACTTGGGCTCGATCAAAGAAATTGTTCTGTATCCAAATGTCAGCGTGGAGAAGGATAATGAATATCTCAATAGCGTTGCAACCATGTGCCGTAATTCTTTTTGCAAAACAAAAATAATTAAGCTCACACTAGACATTTTATTTAATATTTTAAATTACAACTAATTTTTCGTTCTTTTTAAATACCCATACATTTGTTTAGATTGGTCAAATCAACCCATAAGCGATATCTGCGGATTTACGAACACCTTTTAACAGTTCTTCAGTACATCGCGCCCTTTCCTCGCTCTGTCGGTATTCCTGCCTAGGATCTGTTCGCATATTCATAAGGTGAGCTGTCGTTTGGAGTCATCGGTTCATTATTTGTTATTGTACAATTTGTGTTAGGCCTTGTATTTGTCCTCAAGTGGGGATTTTGCTTTAACTTCTGTGCAATTAATGCGTTATGAGTTGTTCTTGTTCTTCTGAGATATTTTTTTTTCGTTTAATGGCTTTGGCTATCGGATTCTCTCCTTAAGTTAATTTCAATCTATTTTAACTCTAAAATTGTTAGTTTCATGCATTCACTACTCGCAGTTTTTCCATTCTAGAACTTTTATCCGCTTTAAAAACATTCGCGCATTACAACAATGGCAACTCTGCATCAGTCAAATTGCCTTCAGCAGGAGCCATGTGCTTAAGCGGTGTCCACAACAACCAGCTCCGAGTTCAGTTTTTCGTAGCATACACTGCTGTCTGGAGGTAGATGGCACAAACACCTGCAGCCACAGCCTCGTCCTCCCCGCGCCAAAATTCCAGCCTTTCTCAATTCCCTCCAACTTCTCTCGATGCGAGTACTTTTGGCGGTCTCAGCGCCCATTGGGCTTCCGGGGGTATGGGTGTGGACGAGACTGACTCCTCCTCCACCTCCACCCTTCATCCTACCTACGCCCTCCTCAGTGCTCCCGCCACTATTCCTAACCAGAGCCCGCAATTCTTTCCCAAACTGGCCGACCATCAACTGGCTACCTCCACGCCCGCTAACGGCAATAATTATTTTACTGCCATGGACGTCGGAGGCGAATACTACTCACCACAGCCACCGTCATCGTCCACAGCCTTCAACCAGTTGCCTCCTCAAACAGAACAGAGCAGACAGTTGACTGATCTCGATAGCGCCAATAAGGGATCTTCCCGCTCTACTGGGGGTGTCAGTTTGCCCGGCTTCACTAGTCCTGAGTCGGCCTTCTATCAATATCAGAATCGTATGGAGGGACAGCTATGTCAAATATGCGGTGAACTTGCTGCTGGCTTTCATCACGGTGCCTATGTCTGCGAGGCCTGCAAGGTTAGTGCTAAAATTAAATCGTCTTTAAGGTATATATTTAGGTATCATCTAGTGTTTTTCTTGTCTTCTCTAACTGCAATTATTGGCGCCTCCTATGTGAATTGTGTATAGTTTATTGACGGTTCTCAAAATGCAATCTTAGAGCACTCAGTAGATGACCTTTTCCTTTGCAGCTTGATTTGTGGGTTTTTTTAAGCGATGCCATTGCTTCTTAATTAAAGGGTATTTTTTTCTCAGTCAAAGAAATATCGGACTGCTTTTTTCTTCTGGCTACGAGGCTTTTTCTAATCTCCCGTCCTTTTTAATCCTAAAGTGGATTTTTATATTGGGCACTTTCGATAAGAACAGTGGCCTCTGTCCTACTACATGCAAAAATATCCTGAGTTTAAGTGCATTTCTCGGAATCTACCCATTAGACCTAGCATTTTAAGTGATAATTATATTTCCTCCTAAGTTTACCCTCCTTCGTGTGCGTCAAACTGGTAGACTTTCTTGATCATCGACAAGGTCTAGGGTTCATGCCTTTCGGACACTTTTCTCGATTTCTGTTGGTTCTACGGGTAGCCTGAGACGAGGAGGAAAGGATGATTTTGTGTAGTTCCTTGAGGCCAATTTCAGTTGCAAGTGGTGGAAATTTCGGCCCGCCCAACTACTGTTTGGCTGCCACGTCGATTAGTCATCTCTGCCTATGTCGACTGTTCTTGGGTTGTTGTTTTTTTTTCATCCCAACATCCCCATTTTCCACTTCCCTCCTTTGCCTTCTTCCTTCTCCACGCATCCCTTCCGCCCTCTGCTTCAGCGGTCCCGCCAGGTCTTCCAAACATTCTTGTGTTCTGTGTGTTCATCATTGGAAGTTGTCTATTCTTATGTTTATTTGGTATTTACGTATTTCTGCATCCTAAATTACATCTATTTGGTTTGAAGAATCTTACTTCGAACTACTTTGACGAGTGAGTCCACGCTCAGTATGTGTCAAGGTTCAAGTGTATTCAATCACGTTTGCCTTAACCACCGGAAATGACCTAATCAAAGTGCTTTGTATTTCGGTTAACTTTGATGGAGATTTATAAATGCGAAGTAGAAGAGGAGTATGAGGGAACAAGTTTTTTTTTCTGTAAAGTGGCAGTACAATCACAGACATTAGATGTGAAAATGCTTCCCCTCGCCTCGTCTACACGGCTTTTGACGTGTTCTAGCTATGAGACACAACACTAACAGACGGGCATTTGTCGTGTCTGACCGGTCAGACAAATGACCTCATTGATTGCCGAGGGGAAGTAAAGATACGGTTCCTCTTCCTCTCCCTTCCCCAAGTCCACCACCACCGGCTGTCACGCTGCCAAAAAGCGTCTAGACAGACGTCTGGACCTCGTATTCAGTGTTTATTTGTATGCTTGTGTATGTTTATCCATGACCACCACATCCCAGTCTACGCCCCAGTCTTCAACTCCTCTCTCTCTCTCTCTCAATGTTGGAGTTTAAGCTAAACACATGAAAAGCCGTTTATTCAACTTGTTCCCATCACAATTCGTTTGTATGAACTGGTAAACACAGGCCGATCATCATGTACTCGATTACTTTTAATGAAGTTTAAAATCATCTACTGAGAGAATGCCAAAAATTTGCTGGCGAATGTATGTAAATTTGGCATTTTATATTATTGGCTAACATAGTTCTCGAAGGAATAAGTATCATGTCATTACGTGGTGATATTAAATGCCAAATGACTTCACTCCATGGATGGCACATAACGTGTGTCACTGTTTGCCGTCACGTGGAGATTTATCGGAATTACAACAGAGCAACTGGTTTCTCAGTAAGTCAAGACTTGAAATAGTTTGGGAAGTGATGCTTCACACCAATCCGCTCCACATCACTACTACTGCAGACAGTGATTCCGCTAAAATCTGGCGGATGCCCGGTACCACTAGCAACAGCACATCGCTTTGCTGTGTATCCTAGCGCCACGTTTGCATTCGCTATTGAATTAGTGAGGAGTGGGGTCAAGGCATCGCGTGAGTGCTTAGTCGCTGCCAACTCACCTCTAATATTGCCAATTAGTTGATTTATGTGTTTACGTGCTATGGGTGGTGCATTTCTAAGGCTTATCACCCCACCCCACCCCACCCCCTTTAAACCTGCCTTGTAGAAGTTCTTCATGCGTCACTCGCTTGCCAATGGACGGTCTACGACCACTTGTCCCTCGGGTGGCAATTGTGTCATCGCCAAGAGCAGTCGTGGACGGTGTCAACAATGTCGCTACAAAAAGTGCCTCGAGGTCGGCATGAGTCTTAAAGGTGAGTCCCATCTCCCCTCCTCAATGGTCATGTAGTGGTTTCAGCACTAGTCTGCCGCTAGTTTTGAACCATCGGCAAGTGAGCATTTATGACTCCGACGTCATCGCCCATGGGCATTGTCACTCTCCGTGTCTAGGACCCCAGTCATCGTCCAATGCTTTCGAAATTCCTGTGTATTGTATAGTCCTAGATCCAACAAACAGCGAACTCAAGCTAGCTGGTATTCTATACGCACTTGCTTCCCTCTTCCAGAGCCCTCCGGCGAACTATCTACGTTTTCTTGACGGGATTCTTCTAGATTCTCGAAAGTAGCACTTAATAGAATTGTAGGCCCCACCCTTTGTTATACGGCGCCCCTATTTCTCCCACTCTAGGCGAATGCTAACATTTTTAGAGACAAATTTCGTCTAAATTTAGTTGGCAATGAATGTATTCGTTAGATGCTACACTTCTAGACACTGGATTCCTTTTGAATTGGACACTTAACCAATATCATCACACCTACCACCAGTATTAGTATCCGACGTTAGCCCGCGTGTGATCCTTTGATCTCAAGCCGGCACCTCTCCAACATCCGATAAAACCTACTTTCCTAATTTTCGGTCAACAAAATCATTTTATCATCGACAATAAATAGTAACGATCATCAACATGTCTAGGCAGTGTTTATCCCCGCTAACCATTACCTCACAAAGTCTGACCCCTCCATCGTAGTCTGCGTGAACAGGCCCTCTTGGCCCATTCTTGTCCTCCACGTCTGTACATGTGTGTATATTTGTGTGGGTGGGTGGGTGTGGGTGTGTGCTTTCCCCTTCACCATGCTGTCACGCTAGACAACGTGGAAGCAAAGTTCTGCGCCC